GCCTGAACCAAAAGAGATCATGACCTGAGCCGAAGTCAGACACTTAATCGACTTCTCTTCTGAGTGACCCAGGTGCCCCCTGGTCTCTGCCACTTATAAGATATGAAGTTCTAGATAATGTAATTCCCTCCTGAGTGTTAGGTCAGACACACAACACTCAGGAAATGGTAGCTCTAGAGAATTTAGAAATGGTAGAAGGAGTTTTAAAAGCATGCCAACGGTGAATTTAGAATGGGTTTTTTTTTTTTTAAGAAACACATTTTTAAGTGTGTACACTCCTAATGGCTTTTCAGAGGCTAAGTGGATTCATTTCCTTTGTTGTTGAAGATAAGAGTCCTGTCTATAAGGTTTCATTTAAAACTGCCTATGTAGCTACGTACTATTTTCTCCCTGCTAAGGGGGGGCTTTGTGAGGAAATACCAGTTCTGCGGGCGTGGTCTCAGGAAATAGCTGCAGGCTTTTGGGAGTGTGAGTGGTTGGACCTCGACTCCAGAACAAGTGGCTTTGCAACCGCCCAGAGGAGCATAGGCTAAGCCAGATGGATAGGGACCTCAATGAAGCTTCTGAGTTTCCCAGTCGTGCCAGCCACACGCCCACCGGTGTACGTCTCATTTAGGGCCTCCTCGGAACTGATGACATTGAGGTACTTCATGACAGCTAAGAGCCCCCAGGAGTCCAGCAGGCTTACTGGAGCTGAAGGCACAGCACAGCAGAGAGGCCCAGAGAGGGTCGGGCTTGTGGAGCAGGGCCTCACTGCAAACTCTCAGAAAGAGCTGAGTGAGTTGTCTCCTTCTGAGAAAGACCTTCCATAACTTCACTAACCTCACAGTTATTTACAGCAGTTTTGGAAGCTTTTAGAGCCATATTTGAAGAAAAGAAAACGATAATTGGACATGATAGCCGAGACTGCGTGGCAAATGATCTACCACTGGGGTGTTTTCTCCTTCCTTCCCAGGCCCCAATGTTGTCCATGTCACCTCCAAGCGCCCCCACACCTGTTGCTTGCCTCTCAGACTTTTTTTTTTTGTGTTTGTTCGATGCTGTATTCTTTTCTATTTTGTTTTCTTTTTATATTCCTCTTTTATCCTGTGAATTGTTTCCCTTCCTAAACCACCAGGACTCAGATTATTTTGCATAAAAACATCCCTTTAGCATTTAGACACTAGTTGCTAATTTTAAAGTCTTCTGAGCTTTTTAAATCTTAAAAGTATGAAAAAGTTTAAGTCTGTTTTTCTGGGGTCTCAGCAGAGAGCTCGACACGGGCTTCAAACCTAAGAACCAGAGATCATGACTCGAGTCAAATCGTCGGATGCTCAACCAACTGAGCTTTCACCCAGGTGCCCTTCAGCCTTTTTTTGAACCCGTGTTCTACCAGCTACAGATTTTATGACACCCCTTTTTCTATTTATTACAAAACAACAGGTGTATTCATGTGTGTTTTTCTGGCCATGAAATTAGATTACTGTATTGAATATTTCTTTTCAAACTTAACATGTCCCTGCTGTTTCCTTATTTAGTATGTGCGTTTGCTTTGGTCACTCCAAGTGAAACCCTTCTGTCTTTCTTAAGAATCACCAGCCTTCGGGCGCCGGTGGCAGAAGAACAGTCGAAAGTTGAGCCGTCGACCAGGTCACTTATCTTCACGGTCCTGGTGGAGTCTGAGTCCCCGCTGTCATCTTTTCCTGGCTGATGGCTCAGAGCCTGGAGCCTGTTTCTGTCTCTGTGTCTCCCCTCTCTCTCTCTGCTTCTCACTGCTCATGCCTCTGCCTCTCTCTGTCCCAAAAATAAAATAAATGCTGAAAAAAAAAAAAATTAAAAAAAAAAGAATCACCTCAGGGCCTCGGGCGCCTGGAGTGGTTCATGGAAGGTCATGTTTAGTCGATTCTCACTGTTAGCCAGGCTTTCATGATTCATGGTTCATGAGTTTGGGTCAATGACGTTTGTGCTGACAGCTGAAGCCCAGAGCCACAGCTGATTCTGTGTTCTTCTTTCCTTCTGTTCTTCCTCTCTGCTCCTCCCCCGCTTACGCTCTGTCTCTCTTTCAAAAAAATAAACATTAAAAAAAATTTTTTTTAAATCGCCAGCCTTAAAAAGATAGAAGTAGCAGTTCATTCGTCCATGTATCCAATACTATATTAACTAAATTCAGCTTACTGTACACCAGGCCAGAAAAAAAGCCTGGCCCAGATAGAATTACAGTCTGGTGGGGGAGACAGGCACTAGACAAATAAACAAAAGATAAGTGATTACAGTTGAAAGAAAGTAAGACAGAAGTATGTAATCCTGTGTGGAACACTAATCCCTTCATCTCTGAAATGCTGGCTCAGGAGGCTGGATTTTGCTTGGTTTGTGGTTACAGGACGACTCTGTGGTCTGATGCCTCCTGAAATCAGGTACACCCACAACTTTGCAGAGACAGAGCCCCATTAGTGCCTTGTCTTTGGCAATTTTTGTTTCTCAGACAGGGTTTGGAGCTGATGGAATGACTTTTAGCTGCACTGCAGCAGAAAATCCCTAGGTGGCGATAAAGAGAAAAGTACTAGAGAGAATTTCCTCATTGTCTATTCTCTATTCTCCATTTATTTCCAAGAGGAAAGTTCACTTCCTAATACGGAGCCCTTGCTGTTGTTACCAGTGTTGTTTTCCTCCCGTGAGCAGCGCACGAAGCGCAGTCCTGGCTTTCGGGAACAGCGGCGTGAGGCGGGCGAGCACTGCACCAGGCCCAGAGACCTGCACTCCACAGCCTCACACCTCATGGTGCTGGAACCTTCCACACGCCACACTCCTGCTTTCCTGACTGCGGAGTGGGGGCAACAATGAAAAATCAACGGCAAGAGCAAATACGAACACATTTTGAGAAGTTACAAATCTTTACACAAATGGAAGGCTGTAGTAACAGTCACTTTTTGTTGACAAAATAGTTCCCACAACTCCAGTGACCAGTGCCATACTCGGGTGCTAATTTGGAGGAACAGCAGGGCTTCTGTCACATATCACATCAGCAGGACAGAGAGGCTAAATTGTATAGCGTGGGCCATTTTATCCTAAAGCAGATTTTTTTTTAAAAATTTTTTTAAAGTTTATTTTTGATAGAGCGAGAGAGAGAGAACGAGCAGGGAAGGGGCAGAGAGAGAGGGAGACACAGAATCCCAAGCAGGCTCCACGCTGTCAGCATGGAGCCCGATACAGGGCTCAAACTCCCGAACCTCGAGATCCTGACCTGAACCAAAACCAAGAGTTGGACGCTTAACCGACTGAGCCCCAAGCAGATGATCATTTTACTGGGATTGCCAGTACTGACTTCCAAGGCGAGACTGTCTTTGAGAGTCACTGGTGCAAGTCATTGCTGGTACTGACCAGGAATCGACATCGGGAACTAGCGAGGCTTATTTTACCAAAGAAGGAAGCCAGAAGTAGTTGAGCTTTTCTTTTAATACACAGAATGTAAAAAAAAAAAAAAAATACACAGAATGTAAAAAGCTCTTTTGGAGCCTTTCTGGATCACCAGGTATCTACTGTCCTCGTTAAAAATTTGGTATGGCAGTCGTTCTTAGCTTTCTTTGATGTCTTTCCTTTCTTTGTTTTTTGTTTTTGTTTTTGTTTTTAATGCTTGCAGAAATAGTTGTCCGTGAACACAGTTAAACCATAAACCTGGTAATTCTTCGTAAAGAGATGTTTGTCAAAGTGTGCAAAACACAGTGCCTGGCACGCACCAGCCACTTCAGTGCGAAGAAACAAAAAATACCGTAATACCAATCCCATAACATCTCTCAAAAACAACTCCAGTTTCTCCTTGAAATGTTAGTCCATGAAGTCAAGTTTTACCGTAGTGGTTGTGTGTGTGTGTGTGTGTGTGTGTGTGTGTGTGTGTGTGTGTATGTAATAATATTTTTAGTGCCATCCTGTCTTCATCTCTGGAGAAAGTTGAGTCTTTTTTTTAAATCTATAGAAACCAGTGTCTAATTTATATAACTTTTTCAGGCTTTCAATATAGTACATGGTTTATGACTTCTAGAACAGTTCAGAATTGGAGGAAAAAAAGAGTTTTTGGATTTCTCATTTTCCCAAGTAATTCTCTACATTAGATCCTTCCTTCTTGATAAAAGTCATTAAGAACTTTTTTTATGCCAAGTTTTCTGACTAAAAGAAAAAGTTGTAGAGAGAAAAATCCGATGCTGTGAATATTTTCATGTTTCTTCACGCGGCCCCCTGAAGGGTTAGCCTATCCTTTGTTCTTTCTCCGCTGATTCTGCTGGTGGTGCTTTGTTCCTTCTTCCTCAGATTTTATGATGGTCCCACTAAGTTGTCCATTTAAAAATGTATGTTTGATTTTTCCCACGGTACCTAAATGACCTAACCCCATTAGCAGTCCATGGGATTGGCGTTGCCTTAAAAGCACACGCTTCCCTTTCTTTTCTTGTGATTTTTTTTTTTTAACCAGCAATTTGGAAACCCCTGTTTGTGAGTGACTGAGCTGATGGGGTTGACCGTACCCAGCTTTGAGCTTTGAGCACCATATGCCACATTTGGTGTCTGGAAGTGACTGCATACTGGCTGTTCTGTCTGTGAGCCTGGGATTAACCTTCCTGCCCCATTCGATTCCTTTCTAGGTCCAACTGGCCCTCCTTCAACACTCCCTCTAAGCACCCAGACCTCTAGTGGCAGCTCTACCCTGTCCAAGAAGAGGCCTCCTCCCCCACCACCCGGACACAAGAGAACCCTATCCGACCCTCCCAGCCCACTACCTCACGGGCCCCCAAACAAAGGCGCAGTTCCTTGGGGTAAGTCATCCTGAAGTCAGGGCCCGTGCTGCCCGGGCCAGGCAGTGCGTGGGGTGCAGTGGGCAGTGGACACTTAGCGCATCCAGCAAACGGACCAGACTGCACACAGGCCGGATGAGGGCTCGGATGCACACGGGTGTGATTGCGTTTAAGGCCAAGAAACATCTGGGAAAACACTTAGGCTCATTTAAAAGCCAGAGCGATACGTGAAGTGCTGAGCATTTCCGGTGCACCTGTCACAGAATCTCTTGCAGTCACTGTAGCAACGCTGAGCAGCGGGTATCGCCAACCTCGTTTACGGATGAGGAAACAGAGGCCCAGGAAAGCCGCGTAATCCATTCTCACAGCAGCCAGAATATAAACCAGAAATTTTTCTCAAAATATAAACCAGACCTAGTCACTTCTCACCTTTAAAGCTTTCCTGCTGTGCTTCAGGGTGAATGCCAGCTCCTTGCCCCGGGACCTAGAGGGCTCACCTCTCAGCACCTCCCCTCTGCGCACGGCCCACCCTGCGTTTTCACAGCATGTCAGGCACGCCAGGCTCTCCCTCCCAAGGCCGGTCCGCTGCCTGCATCTGTGTCGTGTGCTTTGAGAGGCTGGCTCCCCTTTGTGCTTCTGGGCTTGAACGTTTCTGTTTCCAGCTCCCCTCTCTACAGGAGCTGCCTCCCACCCGTTTCCTTTAGAGCACCTGATCACCGTGGAGAAGTACTCTGCATTTGGCTCCTTGGTCTCTCTAGAATGTGAGCTCCATGAGAGCAGGGATTTTGTCTGTCTTCTCTTTAGCGTTTACGTGGCCTAGAATCTAGCCTGTGTACGGTAGGTCCTCGGTAATCACTTGAGAATAGATAAATGTTCACATTGTCCGTTAGTGACGTTGACAGGGGACAACAAATTTACATCCACGAGGCACGTAATTTCCACCCCGCCTACCTTTTTAGTTCCCCAGAACTCTTCACTAGCCCACAGCAATTTAAATCGGGAAGCAGGAGTCTCCCCAGTGCCCAGGGGGTCAGGCCCACGACAGGCATGCCGAGAAAGAGCAACTGTACCAAAGGAGCACGCTCGTTTGCCTGGGTCACCTCCTTCTGCCATTGAGTTTCACTGTGGCTTCTCTTTCCTTCGGTTTGAGAGTGTAACTGATAGGTAATTAAGCTGAATGCATTATGAGGCCTCTTCAAAAGCCTGTACTAAGGTGTCATGAACCTGGGGAGCTTCTGGAAAAAGCCATACTTCCCCATTTGCAGGTTAGCACACGTCTGTCATCTGGCCACGGTGCCACAGTGTGTGTGCGAGTATGTCTGTGCCTTTGGCCATTCAGCTCGCATGTGTACGTGCCTGTCGTCGGGGCCTCTCAGCCCATCTGCCCAGGGAGCCCCTGGCCTCGTGAGGGAGACAGGCAGACAAATGAGTGAGTTCTCTGTACTCTTTAGGGCTCACGTGTCCACTGCATCCTGTGGACATGCTGAGAAATCGTGTCAAACTGCAGGGAAAGCTTTGTGGAGGGCCCTGAAGAGTCGGTCCCCCGGTGAGACAGGCCAGGGAGGAGCAGTGGGGGATTCGCACAGCCACACACTGGTATATCGAGTGTGCCCTTGACCTGTCCATGGTCGCCTTCCAGGGCCTTCAGCCATCCCCAGATCTCACCCAAGAGGACTTTGCAGACCCAGATGACATGCCTTCGAAGGGCACACCCGTGCAGATGTTCAGACCACAGATCATAAACTTTGATCCTGTTGTTGAATCGGTTTTTATTTCTGTGTAAAGTTTATAGTGCCTTATTCACCTCATAGGCACAGTCGGCCTATAATTAATTGTACGAAATCTGTTTTTTGGCTTAGGAATCCTCACTTTCTTAGATAACTTTCACATCACTCAGCAGCAGGCTAGTAGCTGCTGGTCTTATGCATGTTTTGTTCTTTGCTTTTGTGGACAAGGGGCATTTTTCTTTTAATTTTTTTTTTCAACGTTTATTTATTTTTGGGACAGAGAGAGACAGAGCATGAACGGGGGAGGGGCAGAGAGAGAGGGAGACACAGAATCGGAAACAGGCTCCAGGCTCTGAGCCATCAGCCCAGAGCCTGACGCGGGGCTCGAACTCACGGACTGCGAGATCGTGACCTGGCTGAAGTCGGACGCTTAACCGACCGCGCCACCCAGGCACCCCGGGGCATTTTTCATTAAGAAGCAAAGTCACCACTTTAGGCGAGTTAGTGCCACCAAAAGGGAGCCTTTCGAAGATGGGCGCTGAGCGGTCTGCTGGCCGCTCTCGCCAGCTAGAGCCTCCCACCTACAGCCCGCCGTGAGGGGCAAACATCAGAACCTGTCTGTGGCATAGGGACAATTCTCCATGTCACAGGCCTTGGTCATCACTCACAAACAACCCCAAATAGTAATTCTGGGACTCTCAGGGTCATTCTTTCTACATCGGTGTGTGTGCACATATGTGAGATCTACTTAAAGGCACCTACGGACACAGGTATGGTAAGTGCTTGGTCCCTCCCTAGCTCTCTCCCACTGACATCATGTTCCAGAAGCTAGAGGCAGGATCCAGACTGATTATTATTATTTTTT